CAAAACCTGAAAAATTGGCGTCCGCGAAAGGATTATACCGTGGTAAACGGAGGTAAAAGAAAACGTGAACGGCAGCGGAAGAAAAGGTAGCAACATCCAGTAACAAAAAAAAGCTGTAGTAATATTGCATATAATGTGGAGATTACAATCACGCTGTAGAAATATGTCAACGTTTGAGAAACTGATAGAAATTGGAGAACGTCTTGGGTTAAAAGACGGTGAACTATGATAGTTTGTCAATCAACAAGAAGTGCTAGAGAGAGAAGAATGGCAACAGAAAAGACAAATTGAGAAAGGAGAAAGAAAGAATGAAGGAAAGAGAAGAAAATGAGGGAAAGGAAAGATGGGAAATGGAGAGGGAAAAATAAGAACACAAATTGAAAAAAGAAGAGAGAGAGAGGAGAGACTAGAAATAGAGAGAATAAGAGCACAAATTGAGATTGCAAAACTTGCCAAAATGAAGGACCAAGGACCCAAGAATGACAATGGAGTCAGGGCTAGCCAACTCAATCTACCCAAATTTGATGAACATCAAGATGATGTGGATGCTTTCCTGGAGAGATATGAAAGTTTCGCCCAAACTGGGACAAAGGCGACTGGGCAGTCTGTCTCAGCCCACTTCTCACAGGAAAAGGCCTACAAGTATATGCAGGCGTGACGTTAGAAGATGTCATGGACTATGGCAAGTTAAAAGTGGCTTTGATGAAATGATATGAACTTACTGAGGAAGGTTATTGTCCCAAGTTCAGAGGAGTCAAACCCGACACTGGAGAAACTGTATATCAGATTGTGGTACGTCTGTGGCGTTATTTCACCAGATGGACTGACATAGCCAGGTGTAAAAATGTTTTTGCAGGATTGGCAGACCTATTAGTGCGAGAACAATTCATGATCTCGTGCTCAAACGACATGTCACTGTTGTTAAAGGATAGAACATCAAAATACGTAAAATGAGATGATCCAGCTGGCAGAGCAGTATATGGAAGCCAATCGAGGTAGTATAACTGGCAAGGCCAAGAATTTCGAGTTAAATGTGAAGCCAGTAATGGCTGACCAGCAGCAGGAGCTTAACAAAGGTGACAGGAGATTAATAGACAGAAGGGAGATGTGATGCTATGTTTGTTATAAAACGGGACACATTGCGATGGAGTGCAAGTCCAATGCCAGCAACAACAGATGAAATCTCACTATTAAGCAGCTGGAGCTATTCACAAAGACAGTGCTGATAAGAAATAGGAAAAGAGTGACTGGCAATATGGATGTTGCTACCAGAAGAAAGAGAACCAAGGATACTCCTCAGATTCAGAACAAAAAGGGAATGGTTGATCAGTGCACGAATAATGGTCAGCTCAAATTAGCAAACAGGTCAACAGCACCAATAATGATGGAGGTTTGTGACAAATATCAAGAGGTGCCAACAAATCATAGTATGCCAATATGTGAAGACTATGTTGGGGACAAGAAAGTGAAGGTTCTACGAGACACTGGGTGCAGCAGTGAGAACTAGACTAGTATCCAATGATCAGATGATAGGCAAGGTACGTCTGTGTGTGTGATAATTGATGGGACATGGAGAAAGTTCCCATAGCAAAAATAAAGGTGGATTCTCCATATTATGTAGGAGACCGTGGGGCCATGTGTATCAAAGGACCAATACATGACTTGGTGATAGGA